ATCGATTCTCACTTCCGGGTGAGAATCGATGACGCTTGTAGTACTATCCCAGAAATTGATAAGAAAAAAAACCCAGTCCCCCCTTATCTCCTAAGCCCTGGGATCATTGGGCATCGACCTCTCGGCCCTCTTCCGAAATCCGAGCCCTCGTCCTCGACCCCCGATGACACTCTCGCCACCCCCTCGAATCCGGGCGCACCCCTTCCCCTGGACGAGCTTCCAAAAGAGCGCAATGAAAAGTTCCCCCCCCCCCCCCTCGTTTCGCGGTTTCTTTTTCGAGAGGGAATTCTCCCCTCCACCGGTGGCGGGTTCCGGGGGCAGCGTAATGATTTTGGGGCAGACGCGTTGTTTCGATGACGCCGGGCCACGTGCAGCCCGGTTTTGCTGCAGTTCGGGCGGCCCCCGGCGGGGACGGCGGGGACGTAAATTTTCTAGCTGTGCGTTCATTTGTTCGCCGAACGAAATGCGAATGCATTATACATGGATTGCAGGGGACATTAATTTTCTGCCGTGGACGTGTAGTGGCCCGCGAGGGCCGCCGGGTGCCGCTGGGGGCGAGAGGCAGCCGTTGGGGGTGGCGGGAGCCACCCCGGCTGGTGGGTGTCCCGCACACGGGGATGAAACACCCCCTACGTGTGTCGGGGATTCGACGCCGGCCCCTTTTCCCGAGTTTTACCGGAGATTTTGACGAGTGGGCCGAGGCCGAGGCGTTTCCAACACTTCCGGGGATGGTCGACCTCTCGTTCTCCTCCATGCACCGAATGCACTTCGCTAAACAATTAGAACGAACCCTCGTGTCTTTTTACGATATCACGGGATTACAGATCGGGGACGAACGAGAGATAAGGTCCTGTCAAAGGAGCCAGAATTCCGGCTGCTTATTGTTTAATTAGATCGTTAATGGTTTCTTATCATTATCCCAATTTAACGTATTACGCATTTCTAATGAATTACCATGGCGGAGATAAGGTGATATGAAAGGGGGCATTCTACATGTCTAAATATTAAAATATGAAACTTCTACAAACTGATCGCACCGAATCATTTGGTACGTCGACACGTGATTATGAAGGTCCTAAGGAAGAACGCGATACTCGTGAGATTTCATTTTTTAAGACATTTTCTTTGTATCTTGCCTAGATTAGTATCAAGACCACAGTTTTTAGGGAGAAATCACATATAACGAGCATCGCGTTCTTCCTTAGGGCCTCCGTAATCACGTATCAAAGGTTTCAGGTGATTCGGTGCACCCTGTTTGGAGGAGAGCTTTATCAATACTTTGACGCTTTATTGATATAGAATGACCCTTTCATATCACCTTAAATTTTCTTCCGGTAAATTCGGGGATAAGATCCTAGTTCGCGTATACTCGGGGAATGTTTATCCGTGAAAAGTTATTTAAAAGAGGGAGGCTCCGCGTCAGGGGGTGGACGCGCGACGTGTGTGCCGGGGTGGCGAGTTTTTACCGGAGATTTTAACGAGTGGCGCAGGCCGGGTCTGCACCCTGGGATATAAACATTGCAGTATTTCCCTAGCTTAAAATTGATAAGACCTAATAAATCCGATCAACCAGAGGAATTACGATCCAAGATTCATGCCCGGTCCGTCATCGCGCTTTCCTCAGGGATTTTCTCGCGAAACGACCCCCTGCGAAATTATATTTATACTATCTGTTCAGACGCAACGTGGACAAGAAATCGATTAAAGTCGTTTAAAGACATTTTAAATAAAGAGATCGACGTAAAACTGTCGAAATCCCATGAATTCATAATTCCGACGACTGTCAAGGACCAACGTCGCCATCTGTGACGTTTAGTTGGAACTAAATTTTTTTCTTCTAGTCCATAGATAAATACATTTTTTTTCTTTTATGAAAAATGAAATTTCATGAGTCTCAGGACCTACTTTAGGGCCTGTGTATTCCCGTGGTGAAATTTTTAAAATAATCGGTACACCTAATTCGGGGAATACTTTCCCCAATAATTTAACTTCTCAGATGTATATATATATATATAGGCTGACTCTTTCACATCACCTTAACGTCCAGAGATGAAAGAGTTTCGTTAGTCCTTTCTTTTTTGCGGGGAAAGTTGTTTCACCCTTTCTTCTCGGCCGGTAGTAATCTCCGTCCGATCGAGAGCTTTGTTCTTCCTCGCGTGGAGACACGGCCGAGGGGGGGTGGGTTTCTGAATCGAGGGGCAGGCCGAATCTGGGCAAGTGCACTGATTCATCAGAAGTTCTTTACAATTCGTAATTCTTGCCTCCGACAAAAGGAGAGAGGGCTCTCGGTAACCCTTCCCTCGGTTGGAATCACCGGAGCATCCTCTCTGTCCTTCCGGCCGGCACGCGAGATTTTCAATTTAATAATTCTTCTGTCCCCCCCCTCGTCCCGCCCAATTATCGGGAGGAAGCCATTACGAGTCAACGGGAGGCTGTACGGAATTATTTAATTTCATACGCCGATACTTCAAGACGGTCGTATCCGCTAATCCATTGCGCTCTGATATGCCGCACTAAACCCGTAAGTTCAGATTTTATCATTTTTTTTCCCGGTTGAAAAATTAATTTTACTTATTGATGGTCCGTGATTTTTGGAATTATTTCATTCCATACGACAGTTCTTCAAGACGGTCGTATCCGCTAATCCATTGCGCTCTGATATGCCGCACTAAACCCGTAAGTTCAGATTTTATCATTTTTTTTCCCAGTTGAAGAATTAATTTTACTTATTGATGGTCCGTGATTTTTTGAATTATTTCATTCCATACGACGATTCTTCAAGATGGTCTTATTCGCTAATCCATTGCGCTCTGATATGCCGCACTAAACCCGTAACGTTCAGAATTTATCATTTTTTTTCCCAGTTGAAGAATTAATTTTACTTATTGATGGTCCGTGATTTTTTGAATTATTTCATTCCATATGACAATTCTTCAAGACGGTCTTATCCGCTAATCCATTGCGCTCTGATACGTCACACTAAACTCGTAACGCTCAGAATTTATCATTTTTCCTCCCGGTTAAAAAATTAATATCTAATCGGAAACGCGTATTAATTACCCTCGCAGGGTCGGAAACTCGAAGACTAATCCCTCTTCGTGTCTCTCTGCCGGTAGAAATATTTTCTTCCCGAGGGAAGGAAAGAAGTTTGGACGGCGTACGGCACGAGAATCGATCGGCTCATCTAGAGTTTGCTCGAAGCTGCAATTATTCGAATGACATGGAGGAGCCGGCCCTCTCAAAATGGCCGGATATTAATTCGATTTTAATTACTGCGGGAAAGAAACGGGCAATCTAGAGCGGAACACGGAACCGGAAGGGAACGCGTTCCTACGAGGGCGAGTAATTACCCCGCGAGCATGTATGCCCTGGGGATTATTTTTCATAAAGGAAGTACCGCCCTTCAAACCTTTTCTTCTTCTTCTTTTTTTTTTTCTCTAGAATTTCTCATGAATTATACATATTTGGAGATATCAAAATCCCCATCAGAAATTTTAATATAAGTATCTTTTAAATATTATATGCCGTGAACATCGTAAACGTTTTAAAAATGTTTAAAATCAAGATCACACGTTTACAACAATAAGATAGCGGGTCGGAAATATGACAAGAATTTGCCTTGTTTTCTGATACCAAATGAATCGTCCGATAATAATCCTGAAGTAAAAAATGTATTTTCATTATATGTTCATAAATTGAAAAATATCATTTCTATACGTGTATATAAATTATTAAACTGAGATTTTCGAGAAATATTTTAGACATCTTAAAGAAAATCTGTCGCTTGAGATATTTCGCAAAGATTAGAAAGAAATATTTAGAAATTATTCTATGGTACTAGGGTAGGAGGGGTCGGACATCCCTCGGGACAAGCTTCCCGTTCCAGGATTCTCGGGAGCGAGAGCTCGGCTTTCCGGAAGTCCCTCTCGAAACAGGAAGTGGAGGAAGTCCGCGGAGGTCTGCGAGAGCGAGAGGGCCGAAGTTATTTTTATTAAATCGAACCTCGGCATTCCCCGATGAATCGTTCGGCTGAATAAAAGATGAAGGCGGGGGAGGAGGAGAGCCCGAGGTAGAAAAAGCCACGGGAAGAATGCCGATATTAATAAAAGTTAAATTGAGCCAATCGGCCGTGGGCTTCGGGATCGGAGAGGAGTGCATCCTCCGGGAGGGCAGGGGGGGAGGATCGGCAGCTGGACCACTTTAACTCTGCCGATCGGAATCGTTTAGGGGTCAATCGGTTTGCCGACAGATACTTCGATCGTCGAGGCTCGATGACGATTGCCGGTAGCACGTACGATCATTCTGATGAGAGGAACGATGAACCGCGCACTGTTAAAAAAAAAAAGAAAAAAAAATTCATACACTTTTGGTACATAAGGTTGCGGTGAAATTATAAATTTGACGTCTCAACAGAGAATTAATATACATTCATTATGAAATTTTAAGTGAATTTACTATTTTATAACACCGCGTTGTAATTTTCGCGAAATTGCGGGGAAAAATTTTAAGCTTGATATACGAAACTCATTCGGTACGCATTGTTACCAAAGTTTTTTTTTATATGAGTTTTTAACTTTACGATCGTTTACATGAGTTTATTTTTAAAGAAATTTAATCGAAATATGACAAGCATCGGTGGTATCATGTCTGAATAAAACGTCCAACGAGAATGTTATAAAATTATAATATTTTTTTTTTAACACGGTGGACTTGGTCGAAATACGGAAAACGTGAATTCAAGCGTTATAAAATGATAATACATATATTTTTTTTTAACAGGGTGGAATTAATCAAAATTGCGGAAAGAGTGAATTGAAGCGTTATAAAATTATAATATATATATTTTTAACAGGGTGGAATTCGTCAAAATTGCGGAAAGAGTGAATTCATGCGTTATAAAATTATAATATACATATTATTTTTTTTTAAACATGGAATTGGTCGAAGTTGCGGAAAAGGTCGAAATACGGAAAGAGTGAATTTGATTCCCTTGGTTTCAGGAGAGCGTCCGTACAAGTGTCACCTGCCCGACTGCGGGAGGGCCTTCATCCAACTGTCGAACCTCCAGCAGCACCTGAGGAACCACGACGCCCAGGTGGAACGGGCGAAGAACCGACCGTTCCACTGCAACATCTGCGGAAAGGGCTTCGCCACGGAGTCCAGCCTGAGGACGCACACGTCGAAGGTCAGTCATGTATGTAACCAAATTCGACGTCCATGACGATCAGCGCAGACCATAACGAAAGATCGGGAAAACCGGGAGGACCGCGACACCCAGGAGACCCCCAAAGGGAGCTCGCCCCTACGCGCTCGCACCCCGAAGTCAAAGAAAGGGAGAAGAAAAAAGGAGAAACTGGCAAGGGAAACGAATCTCGACGCCACGGTCACGCGGAATCCCCAAATGGGATGGTGGAGGGAATCCGCGATTTGGGCTATCCTCTTATCTTTTTATACCGTATCGATCCATCTAGGGGGATGAAAATATAAGAGGCTCCCCCGAGGTCCGGATCCCTGCAAGTCTTCCTCTCGGCCTCCGCGTGATCCCGTGACGTCGATTTAAGATTATTGGTCCAAGTCCAAGCCAACGGGTAGATCTGCCCCCCTACGGGGTGAATCGGACATCTTTTGCGGTTCTTGATAAGGGTAACGACGCGAGCGCATGTCGAGACACACCGAAGGGTGGAGTTAGGCTCGGCCTTGAATTAACCTGCGGACTATTTTCTTATACATCTTTTTTTGTTTCTTCTTTGTTTCCTTCTCTTCCTCGGTGTGCAGGGCTTCGAGGCGGGACCTGCCGTGGGATTTTCGAGAGCCCGGGATATTAATTGGAACGATGTAATTTAATTAAAGACAATTTACGATAATTTTTTCCCCGGGAAGTGTCATCCAAGGGGTGCTTTTTCGCGTAAGGAAGAAAAATTCCCCGGGGATGTCTTCGTCGCGGGTTATCCCGGAAATGTCTTGGCAGGTGTCGACGGGATTTCGAGGTGCGATTCGATAACGTTAATCAAGGGGTGATCGGTATATATATTCCTGCCTCGAGCACACATGGTGGTGGGTCACGCTTGCATCGAGACTAATGGGGGTAGTGCGCTTGAGGATGGCCTTTCGTATCTCGGGACAGCTCTCAAGACTCCATTCTGATAACTCTTTCGGTGACTTTCCGGATGTTTCCTCCGGAGCCTCTCTCTCGGCCCGTAATAAAATTCACCCCTCGAGACCGGGAATCTCGCTCGGGGGTACTTTTTGCCGTCCGGAGGACGTCTCAACCCTTTGGCGCGCCCGGCACATGTCTCGGGGAAAAAACGTGGGAAGGCATCTGCTCCACGATTTCCCCTCTCGATTCCCTCTCGAATCCCTCGCGAAGAAAGGATGACCGAGTCCCGATACCCCGAGGCTTTCCCATAGAAGTCGCGAGCCCCTTCCCGAATCGTTCAACCCTTTCGACGTCGAGTACACCCGGCATGGGCTAATTTCACGAATACACCCCGTGTGTTAAATCCTGGACGCATTTAAATGTTTACTTCACTTTTCCGGAAAAAAGATCAAAGAAATGGGAAATTCAAGATCGGATCTCGCTCGCCGAAGAAGCAACCCCCAAAACGTTCAACCCTTTCGACCCCGAGTACACCTGGCATGGGTCAATTTCACGAATACACCCCGTGTGTTAAATCCTAGACGCGTTTAAATGTTTACTTCACTTTTCCGCAAAAAAGATCAAAGAAATGGGAAATTCAAGATCGGATCTCACTCGCCGAATCGTTCAACCCTTTCGACGCCGAGTACACCCGGCATGGGCCAATTTCACGAATACACCCCGCGTACTAAATCCTGGACGCGTTTATACGTTTACTTCAAACGAAGGGGTTACTCGCTTTTCCAAAAAAAAATAAAAGAAATGGGAAATTCAAGATCGGATCCCACTCGCCGAAGAAGCACCCCCCATGGTCGGCGTCGTTTTTCGAGCCGTTAGCACCCCCCTTGGGAGGGCGCTAACGACTTGCGTATCAATTAAGAGATAATCCGCGGCTAAAGCCCGTGTTCAATTTTCAAAAGTCCCTTAACCCCTAGCCTACGATAAATTAGAGCATAATTGCCCGGGGCGGTCGACGCCGCCGGGGGCATAAAAATCCGCTCCTCCAGGTGCTCTAAGGGTGTCCCCCTCATTTTTGGAATTCTCCCACGCACTCTTTCTTTCACTTTATTCCCCGTCCTCTTCTGGATCCCTCCTGGAAGGTACTCTTCGAGAAAAATCAGGAGGTTTCCCGGCAATTAGGGCGACGTACCCAGACACGTGGTCACCTCCTAGGGGGCCTTAATCCCGCGGGATAGGTCCTTGGTAATTCCCGGCGAGCGGGAGCGACTGACGAGCTGCTACTTAAAAGTAACCAGGAATAAAGTATTGCCCGGCCGAGCACTTTGTGTAGGTGCGGCCCGTAATTAAAAGCCCGCGAGTCAGAGAGAGAAAGCCAGCAGTCGGCTCCGGTTCCGCGCGCTCTAGTTCACCGAGACGGGAAATAAAACGAGGAAACAAATGGAAGGCAGCCCATCTTCCAGGGTAATCGAATTTTACTCGCCGGAGGGAGGGGGGGGAGGGTTTCTTGAAATTGTTTTCGCTATTCCACATCCCACCCACCTCCCCTCGAAACAACCCCCCGCGGACTCTCGGGAAGCGTCGCGATTTCGCGGGAGGAAATAAAAGCGGAAACTCCTGGAAGATGTTCCTGGGTACGACCCATCTGTCCGGCGAGATCCCGATGATGGTTTTCAGGAAAGATAACCTCGCCAGGGGAGGCGGATTTTCTTTTCTTTTTTTTTCTGGTCTACGGTTTTACCCAGTTTTACCCACTTTTACCCGACTCGATCTCCGGCCATTTATTTATAGCTTAGAGCTACAAGGGTTGAATGTCGCGCGACACGATACCACCCCTTTGCTCCCGTTTTTCCCCGGCTTGTCCCCTCTTCGTGTCGTCCTGCCCCGTCTTAATTGCCCCCTCCTCGTTACGCGGTAAAAACTTGTTAGTCGATAGACTCGTACGCCGGGGGATGAAAAAATGAAATTGGGGGAACTCGCCCTTTAGTCGTCCGGGACGGTTTTCCCGGAGGGAGGGGTTGCTCGTGAAAAATGATCCCACGTTCTCTTTGAACAATTTCATTTTCTTTTATCATTTTCTCGGGGACTTTCCGACCTCGCTACGGGAGAGATCATTTTTAGGTCGCTTCGAGAACGTCCACTTTGAGGCGTTTTTTTAATCTTAAAAAAATCTTAAAACTTTTTAAATCCAAACCGAATTTTTTTTTAACAATACACTCTTGGAAAGAGAGATCATAATACACGTATTATAAAAGTATTACTTTCTTTTGCAATTTTATTGCATACGTGTGTACTACATTTGCGACACGTGTAATATATTTTATTTGAAAGTATGTTATTAAATTAGTATACCATGTCTTAATGAAACTTTCATGAAAAATGTTAGAAAATCCAAACCGAATATTTTTAAACAATGCACTCTTGGAAAGAGAGGACCTCCTCGTGTTCCTCCACCTTTCGGGATTTACGAATAACCAATATGGCCGACCTTCGGAGGAATAAACAATCTCTAAGCAATGATCTACGCGAGTCGCACCTCTGTCCTAAGAGTCCGCTACCCTGGAAGAACCGGCGACTTCAATCGCGGTAGACATTAGACGTTTTCCAATTAAACGGAGTTCGCGATACCGTAAACACCGGCCGCTGGCGAGTTTCCAGGAGGATTCTTAGAGACTCTTTTGCGGCCTGAAAATAGAATACCTCTCGCCGAGGTATCCGCCATTGGCCGGTGGAAGAAAAAACGTACGGGTTGGTTTTTTTCATCCCCCTATTATAGGGCCCGATTTTTTTCCGCCCCGCCCCGTGGGGCTCTTTTTCCCCTCGACCCCCAACGAGTCTCGTGGCCTTAATGAAATCATTTTCGCGCCTACTCGGGGGCAGGAATTTCCTCCCCATTGTGTCGATTCGGATCGAACCGGAATTGCCACTGGGCTAAATAAACTGGACGAGGGGATCAGCCCCTGCGCCCTTTCAATTCATTTTTTTTCTCGCTTTTTTTTCTCTCCTCTCGCGTTTCGACGCCTTCCTCCCGCGTACGTCGCTCGCGGATTATTGCTGGTAACCCCTTCGCTCGGGGGAGGCAATCGGGAAGGGAAAGAAAATCACGTGTCTCCCCTTTATTGAGGGCAAAAACCAAGCGCGATCCGGTTCGCGACGTGAGGCGTTCAGGAGTACTATAATAAATTCGTGAATCACGCATTCGTTCTCCCGGCACATGAAAAAGACGGAATAAGACGCCCGATTTCCTGCCATGTCGGTGCACTGTTAAAAAAATTCTGACAATTTTATTGACACTTTTTTAGGGAAGTTTCATTCGGACATGGTATACTAATTTTATAACGTAGTTTCAAATAAAATATATGACATGTGTTAGAAATTTAATACACACGTATATATTAAAACAAGAGTCCTATAATAAATTCGTGAATCGCGCATTCGTTCTCCCGGCACATGAAAAAGACGGAATAAGACGCCCGATTTCCTGCCATGTCGGTGCACTGTTAAAAAAATTCTGACAATTTTATTGACACTTTTTTAGGGAAGTTTCATTCATACATTGTATACTAATTTTATAACGTAGTTTCAAATAAAATAACATGTGATATAAATTTAGTACACACGTATGTAATAAAATTATGAAGGCTGCCAGTAATTTTGTGATATATGTATCATAATATCAGGACATTCATACGTAGTAAAATTATTAGAAAAAAACTAATATATTTATAATACGTGTATAATTAAAATCCGAAATGATTCGGTGGACCCAATTTGGAGAAAATTTTTCTAAATATTTTCACGTTATATATATGTATAAAAAAATATATATATAGAACGACCTTTTCATATCCCCTTAAGTGTAGACCAGAAGGTATCCTCGATCCCATGGCCCTGCTCTAGGAGTCCGATGTCCTGCCAAGGTTGCCCCAATTCGGGTGGAGTTCTGGAAAGGACCAAAGCGCCTTCCAGGACTCCCGGTCTCGAGAAAAAGGAGGCACCTCGGGAGGGAACCTCTCTCGGGGCCCTCGGTCCGAGCGGAGGGACCGCGAAGGTTGTCTGTATCGTGAGCCTCTTGGCCTCGACGGGGATAAAAAAGACCGAGGCGAGAAAAAGGAAGGAGAAAGAATCGCGCGCCGGTGGGAGACCTTCGAACTCATTCCGCGTGGTCGAGGTCCGTCGAGGTCTATCGAGGTTCGTCGAGGTCCTCGGAGGTCCTTCGAGGTTCGTCGAGGTCCCTTGAGGTCCCTTGAGGTCCCTCGAGGTCGGGGGTGGCCGAACCACCGGTGCCCCGGTCCGGTCTCAGGAGTCCGGAGAAAATGGCCACGTCGCGCACCTAGCGTCACGCACCGCTACGCTCGTGCTCACACCCACTTCCTCCTTATGCCACTCCCTGGTGACCCGGGTTTGGCGAGACTCCGCCGAGCGAGACCCCGTTTCCCCTCCCGGGCGGAGATATCGCATCTACCGAGGTGGGACGCCGGGCATTTTTTTTTTCTTTTTATTCACGCGACCCCGAGGAGAGAGAAAAGAAATCCTTGCGAGTCGACGAAATTGCCGGGACGAATCTCTTGTAACGATCTTTTTTTCATATTTTTTTTTCCGAGGGAATCGGGGAGGGGAAAGAAATTATTCAAGATTGGGAAATCGAAGGAACGAGGTCGAGGCGGGGTGTCTACTCCTCCGGAGGTGCGGGATTTCTTTTCGGAGGGTCCGCTAAGAAGGGGAAGTCGTTCGAGATCTATGGATCGGAAGATCGAGTATCGGGATTTCTTTTTGGAGGGACCGCTAAGAAGGGGAAGTCAATTCCAGATCTATGGATCGGAAGATCGAGCATCGGGATTTCTTTTTAGAGGGACCGTGGAGAGATGGGAAGTCGTTCGAGATCTATGTATCGAAAGATCGAGCATCGGTCGCGCAGCCTCCTCCGGTCCAGCCGGGACTCGTCTCTCGTCTCCCGCTCGCCCACGCCGCGCGGCCGCCGCGCCGAGAGGGAGCCGGAGGTGCGCTCCTCTTGCCGGGGCGCGCGCTCGCGCTCGCTCGCGCGGGCAAAAAGCGAAGATGCAGGAAAAAAGGAAATGCACAAGGAGGAACCGGTTTTTTCCAGTTGGGCCAGGTCGGGGCGTCGAACCTTCGGAGCCTCTCGCGCGCAGCCTCCCTCCGAGAATAACTTGCATGCACCGCGCCGCTCAACGCGGCCGCGGTTGCCCCAGGTCCGGGCCGGATAAAAAAGGAGAAGCCGGCGAGAAAAAGGAGAGAGAGAGGGGGGGGGAGAGGAGGAGGCCGCCGAGAGGCGGGCACCGACGCCGAGCATAAAGAAACGGGAGCGCGAAGGCCCCCAAACTTTCGGGTCATTGCCGCGCGTCCCGTTTTAGCCTTATTCCCTTCCTTTCGGGTTCGCCGAGGCCTTAATGGCTCCCCGGCAAGGCTGGCCGCCATTTTTCCTCGACGCCTTCAGGGACGTCATCGAGGCAAGGGCCACCTTCCACGAGATCCTCCGAGCCTCCTTTTTCTTTCTTCTCCCCCGAGACTTTCGGAAATAATTCCTCGGCTCCCCCGAAAGTAATCCTGATCGTTGAAATTGTTTCCCGTGTTCTTTTATTTATTTATTTATTTTTTTTTTAACCCTCCCAGGGGAACGTATAACGTATCGCGGATGCATTTCCTCCATTTTTCCTCGACGCCTTCAGGGACGTCATCGAGGCAAGGGCCACCTTCCACGAGATCCTCCGAGCCTCCTTTTTCTTTCTTCTCCCCCGAGACTTTCGGAAATAATTCCTCGGCACCCCCGAGAGTAATCCCGACCGTTGAAATTGTTTCCCGTGTCCTTTTATTTATTTTTTTTTTTTTTTAACCCTCCCAGGGGAACGTATAACGTATCGCGGATGCATTTCCGCCATTTTTCCTCGAAAACGCGTGCACCCCCCGCCACCGTCGGTGTGCGTCGCCCGAGAACCTCAGGGACGAAAGAAAATAGCCAACGACCGCGAGAGGTTCTTTCAGGAGTTCCACCTCGAGCGACACTTTCTGTCACGGGTTTTGTTCCACGGGCGGACTTTTTTCTTTTTCTTTTTTTTCCGTCCCCGGTTTCTTCGCGCGGCCGTACGCGTCTCTTTCCTAAACGCCCGGCCTTGGCTTGGAAAACGCGAGCCTGCGAATTGACCGGGAAAACTGCGAGACAATGGACGCGCCATACGGCGTAAAGAATAATAATCCCGCGCATGTTTCGACGTTGACCATGAAATTAAAAATCCCGGGTATTAAGGGGATGTGAAAGTGGGATCGTCCGTGAAACTTTTCCCTGTACCGAATCGTTCGAAATCTTCCTACGTGAACATGGAGTCTATAAGGAAGATCCTGACCCTCCTGAAATTTCATATTTCATAGAGAATTTTGAAAAATTCCTATAAAGGAATTATTAAAAAAATTGAAATCTCCGAAATAAATATAACCTCTAATAAATGAAACCTCTTCGACGCCGCTTTCGCATCCCCTTAAATATATCATTGAGGTGGGAAGAAAATTGAGCTTGAAAATTGAAAAAAAAATTCCACGTTTTTCCAACGGTCTACCTGGGTACCGTCGAATTTTTCCTGGGGTTTGGGGAATTCCTGGCCTAGTTTTCCAAGCCGGTCGAGTCGGGGGAAATCGCGTGGGGTATGAAATTGAATTTCCAGAATCCGGATCGATCCGAGAGATCAGGATCGAGCCTTGACCGGGACAAGCCCGGAGGAACGGGAGCTAGGGAAAGAGATCACTAGATTTTCGGCAATTTCTAATCCGATGGACGTCGAATTTGGGTCATCCCCTAGCAGCAGACAGTCCTAGAATCTAATCGAAGATTCCAGCCATAGTCTATGCTTTGCATTTGCTCTAACTCACGTCGAGCCTCCGAGAGTCGGCCGTTCCCCGGCTCTGCGGATCGCCCGGACGTTAACTCGTTCCTCGGCTTAGCTTGCTCCCGTCGCCCTGATCCTACCCGAAACTTCCTCTTCCTTGCCGAAATCCCCATAAATGTCCCGCGGTCCAGGAAACCCGAGGCCGTTCCAAGCCGAAGATACGAGACTGGACCTAACGATATCCGGAAAAGCTGGCGATTTCCATGACTTCCTGGGAAATGGATACTCCAGGGCGGCGTGAACCTGGAATCCATTTTGAGGCCCAAACAAAAGTAATGTTGAGTTCTGTTTGTGGCATTTTTTCATTTTTTCCCACAAAAATCAGAGCTGTTCAGAAAGACAATCCGAAATCGTGGAAATTTGTATTTCTCGACTCTAATGGCGTTGTCTGGCATTAAGGAAATTCAAAGCCAGGATTTTCTTTCCATCGCTTAGACATCCCGCAGTACTTTGCATTAATTTCCGCAAGTAAATCCCGGGTAGTACTTATGCTTAGAATTTTTTTAAACCGACAGGGGTTGGCCTCGACAGCTAGAGAAATTCAGACCCTCCCACAGCCTAAAAAACGCTGAAATGGTCATTCTCGGGACTAATTTATTTATATATTTTTTTTCAACAGCTCTGAAATTTGCAAAGAAAAATGCCACAAACAAAAGTCAACATGGCACGGCACTGTTAATTTTTTTAGTGCCTGAAACTGGATCCCAGGTGTGATGTATGATCCAATTAATCCAGGAACTGATCAGGACGACCACTCGCTAGGACCTTCCCGATCACCCTGGATTATTAAATTTTCTCACTTCACAAACCGCGAGATGAAAATGACGCCGAGTCCTTATGGCGTGCTCTGAGAGAAGCCACCAACACCGTCGGTGGTTTTTCTCCACAGTGTTACGTGGGCTCGGCTCGGGTGGAACGACTCTCCGTTTCACCTGTTACTTTCATATCCTGGCATTAGATTAGAAATTCGAGGTGGACCGGACCTCGGGGATCCCTTCCCAATAAAGATCCCTTCCTCGCGAGCAAGCTGGAGTAAGAAGCAAAATGGTGGCGGAGGCGCGGGCCCTTCTCTGACTGGTATCGTTCTTTTCTGTGCCCGCCTGTCCTGCGCTTCTGGTGCACTCTGGGGTGGTATTCTCGGGGTGGCTCTGGTCTCCTTGTGCCGCTTGGCGTTCCTCGGGCGAAAAAGGAGTTGCAACAGCGTGTTGTGTTCCAGCAACACACCGCCCTGATCGGCGGCCCCAACGCCGCCAGCTGTCCCCTTTGCCACAAGCTCATCGTGGGCGGGGAAGCGCTTATGGAACACATGAAGCACACCCACAAGGATCCCAATGCCTCCGGCGTTGCCAGTAAGTATCGACACTCGGTGGTCCCAGAGTTCGATTCTCGCCACCTCTCAAGGTCTCTAAGGGAATCCCGAACCGCTGGTCTCTCTTTCTCGTCTCCGGGCCTTCTCGCCATCTTGGTCCCGCCACTCTGGGTGGAGGCGCCGAGCTCCGTAGGGGCACTGCATCCTAGAAAGGGATCGTCTCGGTCATTTTGCACCCTGCTTTCTCTAACGGGGCGGAATCCTCGACCTCATCTCACCCTTGTTCGAAGAAGGTACTAACGGGGGGTGCCCGAGAAGAAACGGAGGACGTCCTTTCCCAGGGGATGGTGCCAAGGGACGGGACGGGAGTTGCGAGGAAATCACCTTCCACCGTGGAATTAAAGTCTCTTCTGGATTTCTGGTGTCGGGGGGGCTCTTCGGCAACTCTTTTCGGGGTCCCTAGCGGCATCTCGTGGATGGGATTATCGGAAGGGAGAAATTAAAATTCCGTGGGCATGGGGTAAGGGCGAGGGAGAAAGAGAGACCGTTCTTTTAAAGTGTACGACGATCTCTCGACTCGAGAGGGTCAATTCTTAGAGTTAAGGACATTTCTCACGACCCAACGTTTGCTTTGGTGCGGGCATACATGTACGTCTTTTAATGGTACTCTTAATGGACGCCGTCATCGAGGGCGACCCTGACTCTGGTACTAACTCTGGTGGTCTGTACTAATTCTCGACGGATCTTCGGTGGTTTTCTCATTTCCGATGGGACGAGAGTACCTCTCAAAACTAGCCGCTCCCGTGCAGTCTCGCTCGGGACCCAAGGAAGACCTCTTTTCTCGTTACCCCGTACGATTTTTATCCTCACTTTTTAATCGGCCTCCTCGAGGACGCCGACTCTTCCGATCGAGGCTGCACGACTCGGAAGAATGCGCGAGTGATTGATAAACACCGCCGAAAAGGTCCACTTTCGATTGTCCAAAGACACCAAAAATCCCAGTCATTAGTGCTTTGAGCCTCTTTCCAAATTCCGTAATGACTTTTATTAAGATGATATGAAAGGCGCTGAGAAATTTAATCGACGTCGGTTAATTAATATTCATCTATACCCTTTTTGGTGGGAACGTCATTTAGGTAAAGTATCGATAAAGAGATCGACGTAAAACTGTCGAAATCCCATGAATTCATTATTCCAACGACTCTTTAAGACCAGCGTCGCCATCTGTGACGTTTAGCTGGAACTAAATTTTTCCTCCGGAAACCCGCGTTAGCCCCGAGCTTTCTCTTGCAATCGTTGGTTACAGTATCTTCCATATTTTCCCATCTGACCCTATAATATTCCATTTCTACGGTACTATTAATTATTCGAGCTAGGTCCTGAAACTCTTGATTTTCGATTCTAATCCTCCAAGAAGCGTGAAACATTTAAACTTGCCCGGACCACGCCATGTTGGTTCCAGTCCATGATAGACAAATACATTTCCTATGAATAATGAAATTTCATGAGTTTCAAGACCTGCTTTAGGGCCTCCATATTCCCGCGGTGAAATTTCAAAGGAGTCGATACACCTAATTATTACAATACTTTCCCCGGCGATTTGACATATAGACTCTTTCATATCATCTTAAACTCCACTATGAAATCAATCTGAATCAGTCTTACTGGAGGTAGCCATATTATATACCTAAAGGGATACCTTTAATCAGTCACTTGGACCCGACTCGGGCAAAAGTGGACACTTTAGTCGGCTTAAGCGATTCGCCTGATAACGAGAGAAAGAGAGGGAGCGAGTGGAGGTGTACCGTAGGGCTTTCGTTCGTTTGGGGTGCTTGTCCTGCTTGGCATTGACCGTGAATTGTGTCCCCCTATTGTTCCTCCCGCTGACTGCCAAACCTCCGTTGCCGGGGTTTACCTAGCGAAGCGACGGACTGCCAACCATCCTTGCCCAGTATGTGGGAAGCATTATGTCAACGAGGGCAGTCTCAGAAAACACCTAGCCTGCCACCCTGAGACCACTCAATTGACGAGTCTCAGGATGTGGCCGTGTTCGGTGTGCCAGGCCGTCTTCACCCACGAAAGCGGTAGGTAGATCCTCGGATAGCGTGCTTCTGAAAAGGCGAAATAAATTATTAAAAAAATATATTCTTACCTTTCCAGGTCTCCTGAGTCACATGGAGCACATGAGGATGGACCCGAAACACCAATTCGCGGCGCAGTACGTCCTGAGTCGAGCGGCCGCCGAGAGGCGAGAGCGAGAGCTCCTCGCCGCGGGATCTGGGCTAGGTATATCTTCCTTGGTCATTTTTCTTTTCTTTTTTTATTCCCCCCACGAGTAATCGGGAACTATCGGTAGAGACATTGGGACGATCGGGGATCTTTTTTCGCGTCATTCGATCGGAGCCTGGTCGGGGTGGGAATTCTTATCCGGTCGAGATTCGCGAGCCCTTCGCGTAGCGTTTAGCCAGACCGCCGATGAACGTTCCGGAAGGAGCCCACCGGAAGTCGGCGACGAGGAATTAATTCCGTGTCCCACTTCCCAGGCGCAGGTCTGGGCGTCCTGGGCAGCCAGTCCGGGGGACCCCAAAATCTCCAGCAAGCACCGATGTGCCCCTCGCCATCTGCCCACTCGGACAGCAGCAGCGGAAACGGCAGATTATCCTCGGCCGGAAGCGAACCTGGTAGGCTCCGATCCAGTTACGGTGAAATTCCCATTCCTTGTCGATAACGAGAGCCTCCTATCACCGCGTCAACGGTGACTCTCACCTCGATGAGTCCCCACGTGCCCCGTGGGCAGGGTTGGGCAGTTACCCCTTTTTCGAACTTTCTGACCTAGGGTAATGTTCGATTAATTGTACCGGGTTTAGAGAAATGGCAATGGAAATGTCTTTGGCAGGATGTTTTAGTTAACGGATTCTTGTTTCATTTATGTTAACGAATTCATGCCCCGTGGGCAGGGTTGGGCAGTTACCCCTTTTTCGAACTTTCTGACCTAGGGTAATGTTCGATTAATTGTACCGGGTTTAGAGAAATGACAATGGAAATGTCTTTGGCAGGATGTCTTAGTTAACAAATTCATATTTCATATATCTGTGAAATTTTGCATGTAATGTACATAAACGCTAGTTAACACGATAGACATAAAAATACAATATTCCTTACATCTGTACAATTTAAACAGCTGATCTCAAAAAAAGAAACGAATATGTCGAATTCAGTAGATAAACGTCTTTTAGCACATATGAAAACAGGGAAATATTTTAAGGACACAATGCTTGTATTGAAAATTTTTTAGAATTTCACGTTTTCAATATGGCGGAGTCCACAGACGCATGATACATGTATTCGCGAGGTTACCATCTTTTAACTTGCATATAAATACGTGTAAATTGTTAGAAACAATTAATTTGGCGTTTGGGTTGAAATTCTTTTGATTTACCCCCGTTTAATATGAAATTTATAGTTGGATTTATTTTCTATTTAAAAAAAGATTTGCGCTCGCGTAGAAAACTAGGGACGTATTATACGTCGCAATGTACACGTAAAAAACCACGTAGATGACGTATTGTACTTACCCAACCCTGCCCATGGGCCTACTGACGAGAGCAGATTTTTACGCAGGAGCCGGTCTACTGAACAATAACAACAACAACAACAACAACAACATGTCTTCGCCGGGGCCTAGCGGCAAACTGAGCGAGATGCTGCGCGCCGGGAACCAGCCGACCTCGGCGCAACAGTACCACGAGGAGATGCAGTCCCAGCAGCAGAGGATGGCCGTCATGGCGGCCGCGGTGTCGGCAGGTGAGAAATCCTCGAAAAAGTCGCTCTTTGCGCCCTAGGGACGTCGCCGATCGCCCTCCGGGTGGTGGTGGCGTAGGGGGTCGACATAGTCTTTTGCTAAAAAAAATGCATAAAATTCATAGACATAAGGCTGCAGTAAAATTATGAATTTGGTGCACTGTTAAAAAAACAAAACATTCACAAAATTCATACACTTGTTAGTACATAAGGTTGCAGTGAAATTATAAATTTGACGTCTTAACAGTGAATTAGTATACATTTGTTGTAAAGCTCCAAGTAAAGGTACAATTTTGTAACACCGCGTTGCAATTTCCGTGAAATTTCTGAGTAAAATTATGCACTTGATATTCGAAAGTTGAATCGGTACGCATTGTTTGGAAACTTTTTCTACACATATGTACTATATTTCTAATATTTGTTATAAAGTTAATTTGAAAATACCTTCTAAAATGAATACCGACAAAAATCTTAGGAAATGATAATACCATTGTTTAACGGTGTGCGATGTTGCAGGTCTGCAAAATTCGGTGTCGCCTAATCTGTCGCCCGTCGACGTAGCGTCGCTGGCCGCAGCGATGCGGATGGGCAACAACGGGGACATGAGCGGCAGCGGTCAGGGTTCTACGGGTCAGCAGCAGCAAGGGGTGCAGTCCGGGGGTCCGGAGCAGGCGCTGAGGATGCAGCAGCAGGCCGAGGCGTTGTTCCGGTCCCAGGCCGAGGCCGCCCTGAGGCTAGCGGTAAGTCGGACGAATCCGCGTCATCCTCGAGGAGACGGGAGTCGCGGATGCTGAAGGAAGGTGGATTGCAGGTGTCGCAGGCGGCGGTCGCAGCGGCGAGTTCCGCGGTCGGAGGAGACATGAGGCACCACCTCGGGCAGCACAACGGCGGCGGGGGTTCCGGGATGCCCGGACACCACTCGAACCAACAGCTGTCCCAGCAGGACACGCTCTCCCCGGACCTAGGTGAGTCTGCGGCGCCCTGGGTCAGAAGGGTGGATTTTAAAGCCACGTCCCGGCCCCCAGGAGAGGCCCTGCGGCTCCAGGAGCAGCGGCTAGAGCAGGCGCTGAGGCTGCACGGGGACCCGCGCACCCTGGGCTTCACCTTACAGCACGTGGTCAACCAGCAGAACAACCAGCAGCCATGAAAGTTCAGCTACTACTGAGACGAGTGGACCCCTTGGGCGGCGGAGACGCCCCTGTCCTCGGAACGCGAGCCACCGGAGCGTTCCCCGGGGACGAGCGAGCCAGGGCCGTCGTCGAGCGGCCAGAGGCCGTCCTCGGCGGACAGGGGCACCAAGCGGAAGGCGGAGGAGATGACGGAGGAGCCGGCCGACGAGAACCAGTAGGCCGCCCCTCGCTCCAGTCTCCAGCACCCCCGGCCGCACCCCAGCCGCCCGAGAGTGGTCAAAATCGACTGCACTCGCTGTCTCAGCAGTACCTAGAGGAATCGCCAGCCAAGGCCCACCCCGCACCCACCGATCGACGCCCTCGGCCGCGGTGGACGGCGTCGCGGCGGACCGACCCGCGGAGGGACATTGCCCGCCGGGTACGGCGCCCCGACGGCCCACCGCCCCCGGCCGGGGCCCGGGCTCTCCGGGACCCTGGGGCCGGCACCGACTGTCGCCCCGAGGCGCGATCTTCCTAGAGCCGGCCCGGACCGGCGACCCCGGCCCCGGCCGACGCGTGCCATACACCCTGCCGACGCCGATCGAACTCGGCCACCCGTTGGACCCTGGTGGACACCCCCTGGGTGGTGCCCACGGTACTATGATCTTAGTACAAGAGCCGACCCCGAGCGGAGCCTGGGTCTCGGGCGACCCTGCCGCTTGGGCTTCGACTAACTAAACCGCGCTTAAGGTTCCCTTAATCTTAAACTCTTAGGTAGGTTCTAAGGCGAAACTCGTGCCGAGCCCCGGCACCCCATGGACCGCGTGTCCGACCTTACGTATACCGACCCCCAGCCGATGGCTGCTACCGGACCCCCCACGGACCGACCAACCGACCAACCGACCCACGCGACGACTTTGTAAGTACACACACCTCTAGCGTATACACCCTCGACACTTGCGCGCGCAACTGTGCTCGGAGCAGCACGAAAACTATTAGCTCGTAAGCGGACGAACAAAATATTATTACAAACGGTTATATATATATATATACATACACACACACACATACACACACACACACGGAATATGATGGGAGCGNTTATAAATAATAAATATAGGGTCTATGAGACTAGGGTAGTTAGGAGAAATGACGCGAATGCGCGGCGCGCGCTACGACGTCTCTCGGAGAGGGAAAAATAGTCATTTGAGGGGAGACCTCCCGAGCGAATGGAAGAGGAGAGGAGAGTGGATGAACGCGCGAGTGGAAGGGAGAAAAGGACTATTTCGGGATACGGCGAAGCGCGCGCCGGGGGTGCGGGAGGGAATGGGAGAGAATGGGAGAGAGAACGCGAGGTAACTGCATCGAGATATATATGTATATACATATACATATATATATATACATATACGGGAAATTGGGAGAATGGATGGGAGTGAGTGAGCGAGTGAGGTAATCTGAGGTCCTGTGATCGTTATAAGCAAAATATTTTTTTATTTCCGAGTAACGCGCGACTTGCGTCCCTTTTGACTTTACTTGCAATATGTAACCGTTACGTTCTCGCAATACTTAGGGAGAAAGTCCGTAGCTTTAAACGAGGAGCGAACTGGGAAAGGCTCGCGACCCGAAATCGTTCGTCGTCCGTTTTTCGGTGGAAATGATATGAAACGATATAAGGAGAAATCGGAGAGACACGTGGGAAGATAGGAAAATGAGAGAGGACGAGATCACTCTGTGGACGGATCGAGAGAACGAGGAGAGGAGGACTTGTCGATGAGAGAGAGAGAGTGAGAGAGAGCAAACGGTAGAGCCTAGACGAAGACGAAGACGAAGATGTCGAGAAACGAAAGGGGGACGAGACGAGAGTCTTCTCGTTAGGGAGGATCGTTGTGGAACACTCGGCGAGGCGACTCCGTGAGAACGCTATGAGAGTCCAAAGGAACAAATTACCCCCTCCCCCCCTCCCCGAAATCATAAGTACACGGAAGTACCGAAAGTGACACGATCGACCACCTTTATATCCGAGCGACCTCGTGTTCGCCACGCTTTTCAGTTTCCCGAGCTACCGAGGCTCGGAGCCTCGTTCGCCAGTTTTCTTCCTTGAGGCTTTCCTCCGTGCTTTCCCTATTCCGGAACCGGAAATCGAAAATAGAGAGAGAGATGTATGTGTCTACTCGTTACGTCGGGATTCGCGGAGACGAACCGAACGCCCGACCACGACTTCGGAGGGAAAGTCAAAAGAGCGTCGATGGCTGACACACCGACCACTCGAAAATAAGAGAAAAAGGGAAAAAATGAAATTAATAAGTAATTCGGTAACGCGAGGGAAATTCTAACCTTTCGGAAACGTTTATCGACCGGCGCGTTGTCTTTAAGAGAGAGAGATGTCCTTCCGAAGAATGAGATTCCTCCCCGACACCGAGCCCACCTCGGCGTCACCTCGGATCCTCCGCCACTTTGGCTTCCCTCCGCCATTTTGGTTCCCTCTTTCGTTCTAAACCGCACCGATGTCACCTTCTTTGAGACACGCGCCATAAACCTACGGCGCTTCCAGGCTTCTTACTATCGGGACGAGAAAGATCGCTAGGGATTCATCGTCAAAGCTGCAGATACGACCGGCCGGCCTTCTCGCCGGTGCGGCCGCCATCTTGGTACCGGGCTTCACTCGGCCGCCATCTTGGTTCCGTCCCGGCGAGAACCACCCGCTGGTCTTCGGTCGAGTTATTCGAGACTTTATATTTCCTTTACAGACCGTTTCTCCTCGGATTAAGTAGTGTAAATACACCTCGATACTGCGTAACATCATTACGGTAACCTTTAAAGGAGTACAGTTACGAGATATAGGTTAGTTTATCTGTAAATACCTAAGCTGGGCCGAGTGCTTACCCTCGCCCATGCCACCAACGATAATCTTTTCATCGACCGAGCTTCAGTTCGCCGATCGGCTCCCGTCGAGTCCGACCTTCCTCGAGAAAACCAGCTCATTTCGAGTTAGCCTCGGAATTGCCCGGACCGATCGATCAGGAAATTTCTTTTACGAACACACTTACACCCCTAGACGTTCCGCGCGCTTACGAGCGCTCGGCGGTGGCGCTCCCTCGCGGCGAGTCTGAGAAGTTTTCGCTCTCCAATCAATCGGCGATCGCTTGATGCATTTTCAATTATTTCTCCGACATTGGCTCTTTATGCATGACGAGTGATGCTAATGTGTGAGACACCTGGCGTATTAAAGAGCGAAATGGGAAGTTACCTGAAAATAAAAAGGGTACAGAATGAAATACGAGAATTTTCCTTTGGATGACAATTCCTCCAGTTAACCGTGATCGTAAAGTAATGCTCAGACAGATTAGCGATTACTGCCGAGTGGTTGGTAATCCCGCGGAACGTTTACATACACATACACACAGCATTGCGATGAATTGTACAGCTACGATAGGATAGATAATAAGCCTAATACACTTTTCACACACTCGCACCACCGGCACGACTGGCCTTCACGACAGGGTAGGGACCAAAACTTTCCGAGTTTCGTTTGTCTATCTTTTCTCTCAATTTTTTCCGAATTCTCTCCCTGTTCTAGTTTCCATCGAGAGTATCAATTCTCGAGGTTTTCATTCCACTTCCATAAAGGAAGCAGTCTTGATTGATTCGTCATCTAGATACCCTTTTCCAGTCCATTCTGCCTCGCTCGACGAGGAAGCTTATGATCCGCCATATCCCGGAAATCGAAAATTCTCTTTATCCCATCTCGTGCCACTAAGTTAAAACATTTTCTTCCTATCTCGCACGGCGGTCCAAGTGGAGACATAAAATACTCGAGACGTTAGTTTCGCTTCCTTCGCCGAAGAGCACGGCGTCCTTCCGTGTTACCTGGACCGAGCCATTGAAAGGAAATAACAATTGGATGAAGAAAACGTTTCCAATGGCGAAAACTTGACCGCGGCTCGAAACGAGAAGGAGCGGACGAAGAAAAGAAAAAAAAAAGAAGATAATGAAAGTCTAGTCAAAAAGCGAGAAAGAAGGAGGAATTTCGCCCCCAACGTCTTGATGCCCCCCGCGAATCCTCGGTCCCTGGGTCCCTGAGAATAACCCAAGAAACAAAAAAAAAAGATAATGAAGAACCACCCTCAACCACCAAGGGAAGGAAACAAGTGACCACCAAATCGAAAAATCCTGCACGAACGCCGCGAGACGGTTGATATTAAATTAAAAGGAAAGATTAAAAGAAAAAGAAAAAAAAGATGGTTAATATAAAAGGAAAGGCGAAATTTCGCTCGGTGCATCACCCCGAGCGCCTCGGCCTTATGCCCTGTGAACGTGTACAATATCGATTAAATTAACCCAAAACAAATTAAAAACAACGCCACACACAATTAACAATAGCTCGTAGTGTATGTTCTGTAATCAAGAAAGCGAGAGAGCGAGAGCGAGAGCGAGAGAGAGAGAGCGAGAGCGAGAGAGAGCGAGAGAGAGAGAGAGAAAGAGAGCGAGATATAAAGAAAAAAGAGCGCGCGACGACCTCGGTCGTCGGTGACGAGAAAATCCCAAAAAAAAAGATTTACAAATGTATTGATTTACATATGCCCGTAACTCATAAGGGGGTCGGCGAGGCGGCGACCGAGAGCAGCCCCGACGGCGACGCGACTCGTGCCCGAGGGGAGCCGCCGCGAGAGATAGCCGGCGAGAGACCGGCAGGAGCCCGAAGAGGCCCGAAGAGGGCCGGAGAGGCCCGAAGAGGCCCGAAGGGGCCCGAAGAGGGCCAAGATGCCCAAGGGGACCCGAGAGCGGACCGACTCCCCCGGGGCCGCTCCTCGGCGACGTCGCCGCGTCGACCCTGACCATAATTTTAATCTCTTCATGTAAATTGCTAAATGTTTATATCTAAAAGATGCCATAGCCCGGATGCGCTGGTGCATACTCCCAGCGCATACACACTCACAAATACGACTCGACCTCGAACAGTAAACGCAAAATCCGCGGGCAGCCCGAGAGAGCCCGCGGTGATTGGTTACCTCGCCAAGTAACAGATAACAAGCAACAAGATACAATACAATAATGAACACACAGCAAGACCGCGCAGCCGCGCCCTCGGCTGCGCGCGAACTCTGCCCCGGAAGCCGGCGCGCCCCCGCGCGCCCCACACGCACCTCCATACACGGGGGGCCGCCCCCGCGGCCCCTCTCAAGCCACACACACACACACGCACACCGATTACACCCTCGCTACGGATATGTAAAGCCAATTGATTTTGTAAATTGCCCAAAAAATCTCCTGGATATCGCTACGGAATTATACGAGCATTCGGCCGACCGCTACCGACCGGAGCGGTACCGCGCTCCCCGGGGAGCGGGCCGAAAATTCGCGACAATTTGGCACTGATTCGGATACGGAACCGAGACCTTTAGGACAAACCCGAACCGTGACTCTTTGAAAAAAGAAGGAAAAAAAAAGACCCCGGATGTGACGAGATATACCCGACCGGCGGGCGCCCCCGAATCGACATCCTCGGACGGGGGCAACCCCCCCAGGGCGCCCCCCGAGGACCGACCCGACGGCACCGCAGCAGCCAGCCGTCGCTCTTATACGGCTTTGCAAGCAAAAAGCAACTTTGTTTCCGTGACCACTTGTCAGGCTTTAATTTTTTAATGAAATAATCTACAAATGGGTAATATGTACATAATGCGTACCACACTGTAATACGCGCGACATGCGAAACCGACAGTCTAGCAGTGCGAGCGCCTCGTCGCGGGGGGCGGCGCGCCCTCCGGGAGACCGGAAGTCGCCGCTGCGTCCCCGGCCGGCGAGTCTCCGTATTTTAAAAACCGGAATAAGTTGTTTCAATGTCCACTATATAAAGAGATGCCATAGAAGTTAAGGCGGCGGGTCCGGCGAGAGGGACACCGCGTCGTGTCGAGGGTAGTAGCTGCCCGTCGAGGAGCCCACCAAACGACCCCCCGCGGATCCAAGATGGCGCTCTCGCGGACCCGTCGCGTCGCCAGGCTCGGCGGGGTCCTCCCACCGACACCCGGGACCCATTCCCCGCCGAACGGCGACAGTT